TCTTGCTCTGTTGTCAGGCTGGAGTGCAGTGGTGCAATCTCGGCTCACTGCAACCTCCGCCTCCCAGGTTCAAGTGATTCTCCTGCCTCAGCCTCCCGAGTAGCTGGGACTACAGGCGCCAGCCACCACTCGCAGCTACTTTTTGTATTTTTTAGTAGAGACAGGGTTTCACCATGTTGGCCAGGATGGTCTTGATCTCTTGACCCCATGATCTGCCCGCCTCGGACTCCCAAAGGGCTGGGATTACAGGCGTGAGCCTCTGCACCCGGCCTGGGTGCTCTTTTCAATGACGGAAGCAGGCGTGCCTGCTTACACAGACACGGAAACCACGGGCAACGCGGAAGCACTGCAGTGTGGCTGCGAGCGGCTCTCTGTCCTGCCTGTGGCACTTTCCCCCTGCTTGACTCTTTCCTTTGGCCTCTAGAAGTACGTGCCACGGACCGTGGCATGGATGCAAGCACAGGGGGCCCGCTGTGGCACGTCGAGGACAAGCACATCACCATGCTGTTCCTATTCTGTGTCTTCACAAGGTTTCATCTTGACCTTTGTGAGAAGGAAGGGCAGAGCTCGTTTCCACAGGGCCAGCGATCACCTCTGTCCTTCTGTTTCAGATCCATGAATGTGTTCCTCATCGTGTACCTCTGCATCCTGATCAGCAAGGCCCTGATAAACACTGTCCTGAAGTATGTGTGGCAGAGCGAGCCCTTCCGGGATGAGCCATGGTATAATCAGAAAACGGAGTCGGAAAGACAGAGGAATCTGGTATGGGGAGCGACTGCCCGGTGTGGTCACAGATGTCCTGTGGGCCATATCACAAAAGGGCGGTGCAAGAAAAGATGGAAGTGAATTTACTGTAGGCCACAAGCATCCTCGATGGGTCCAGTCTCCTTAGTAGATGCATTCACGAAATGTAAAGTGCCAGTGGACCCAGCTGGTCCTGTCTTTGAGTCTGAAGAGGTACAGCTTCCCACAGTGAAGTCATCAGGACAGTGCCTTAAATACTTGCAGTGTTCCTTTGTTTAGAGGGTGCTAAGTAAATGCTTGTTAATGACTGTGAGGTAAATGGCACGTATTTGTGGTAAATACTTGGAAAAAGGCTCTGCTTTCAGTCCAGAGAGGGCCGTGTGCAAACCCAGACCTGTGTCCACTGAGCCTAGGGCAGGGCTGTGTGCAAACCCAGACCTGTGTCCACT